TGATACACGTACTCTGATAATTACTGTGAAACGTGGGGACGGAAATAATACAAGACTGCCTCGCAATTCCAGAATGCAAAGTACTTTTAAGTTCCTACACACAACTGGATGATCATTCGTAGTGTTTCTTCACGTTTATCTGCAGACCGTCTTATCCTACTCCGATGACCACAGCAGGTCCACGGCTGCTTTGTTCAACCACGAAAAACTTCCAACCCAAGAGGATTTCGTGATAGGTAAGATATTTTTTTCACTCAAGGGTCCATTTGAAAAGGACCCTAAAAATAAAATTTATAAGGGCCTGTTTAATTGAAAAAATTGCAATGCTGAATCGTCTTTGAGAAGCTTGTAGTCGCCTAACTGATCAATAAATTTACATTCTTTTAACCCGAATCAAATGAATCCTAGTTTTAGTTTTACTAAAACTGCCAGTCGCCTTCTGAATCTTGTAGGTACGTCGATACCACGTCATCTCTTTTATTCGCTTTGTAGTAAAATAAACCAACACTCAAGACATGTAAGAACAAAATCTCGAAGGCATTCAGATATTAACCGATTACAAACTTCAAACTAGACTCAGAAACGCTCAATGCTATTGCAGACAACCTACGGCCCACGGGCCACATGGGGTCCTAGCAACCGGCCCGTCACATGATTTTCAATTAGCCAATGCGAGGAGAGTTGACATATTCTGTAACTGAGTAACACTAACATCAAATAATACATTATCAAAGGGCATGAACAAAACATTGCAAATAAATTGTTTTAAGAGCCAAGGAATATTGTACTGTAGGCCTGTAACTGAATATCGTATTTTTGCTCAAAGTTGCATTTTACCGTTGTTCAAGTCATACGACGTTAGAAGTCATCTTACGTTAAAACTCACTGGAATGATTAAACTATATATTTTATTTTGAATTCTGTTTGAGGCATTTAAACGTAGGAATTTTGTATCAAATATTGATGTGAATAATGTCCAAAGAGCATGCTAACGATTACAAAATTTGAGACAAATATCTCTGAGAGTAAGTTTGAGGTTATGTTTTATTCTTGCAGAAATTAAGATGAATATTGAACAGACAAGCTGTCATAAATAAAACAAAATTCTGTTGATATGGTACATTGTTTATCATTATTACAAATGTATAAACTAATATCCGTTAAATAAATATCAACCTACAACTCATGCAAGAATGATTAGGTATTGTCTAACATTAAAACAAATGCAGGTTGTTGCAGATAAAACATCACGTGTAATCCGGTCTCCTATCTAAAGGATCGCTTCAAATCGCTGTAGCAATAATTGTTTCGACCATCAGCGTTACAATACGCAATACAATGGAAGAACATCCAAACGGCAGGACGTGACGTAGATGTCAGATATTCTCCAACATGTGTACAGAGGCGATTTCCTACCTTGTTCTCGCAGGCTTTGTGACACACGTACTTGCACACTGTAAGAAAAAAAGAGCACTGGTTAACTACACATACCTCGTTAGTTTAACCAAGATTAAAACGTGTCAACAAGGATACAGTACACTCAAATATATTCAACTTCATGAGAAAGAAGCACAGATAAATAATATTTATTAATTCAGTCCATATCAAAGAATTACATCTCTTTAACATTACAAAGATCAGCTTGCTGCTGTTGTTTAAGGAGATAATCTCTGTTACTGGTGTACTTCGTACTCAGCGCCGTGAGAACCTCAAATCCTACCTGATGGGTTGATAATTGAAGCAGGTGGAACAATAGCCTCTAAAGGGTTAATAAACCTGACGTTTCGGGAGCTTCCTCTATTTACGCCTTGGGTGGCTGGTTTTCGTCCTGTGTTTATTTCTATGTTGCTGGTGCAAAGAAGAATGACGCATACAAGCCAAATGGGCGTGTTTGCCAGATCCGGCTTACGTGTTACATGTTGGGTATCCTCGCCCGAAGAGTTATTTTCCCCACCACTAATTTGCTTTCTAGAGTTCTGTGTTTTTCTGTTGTAATTTGCGCACAATAAAACGAGTAGAAAGAATACGGTTCCCAAACGCATTTGCATTGAAAAGTGGCAACACATTACTTCTAAAGTGTTCGACCCACAAACAAATCAGATTCTAAATAGAGCGGTATGTTCAAATAACAGAGTTAGGTCACTTGCTGATTTAAGGACACTGAGTAAGATGGCGTGGTATAAGTCAGTGGTATTCAAACTTTTTTGTTCGCGTACCCCCAGATATAATTTCTCTTCAACTTTGTACCCCCAAAGTTGTTGGTGTTTAATTCAAGTTATACATAGTATATAATCTACATCTAAAATAAATTAAATAAATTACATTACTGATTATTCAGTGTTTATCATAATTTTTTTTAAATTTCACGTACCCCCTAAGATAGCTTCGCGTACCCCAGGTTCAATACCACTGGTATAAGTGACGGAAAGAACAGATCAATAAATAAGTAAGAATGTGATTTGGAACAAGAATTTTATCGCCTATTGTAACCTTCTCTATTGTGACGCCGCGCAGTCTCGTAGGTTGTTACTAATATTTCGGCGGAATCTCATGCTTCCATCTTCATGGTCTGAAGATGGGGCGATATGTTCATCAGATATATTGGTAGTCACCTACAAGACTTCATGACGTCACAATCCACAAGATAACATTCGGCATCTAAATCACTGCGAGAATCTAATACCAGAAGAATTTTATTATTAAAATTGCTTGGCCTCAGTTTTGCATTTAATTCACTGCCAAAGCCTCGTGTGTGTTTACAATTAAGAAACTGAAAATATAACTATAAACAATTTTCTTGTCGGTCTCAGATTCTGGAATGAAGCTGTGACGTAAACACCAAGCTGCAGTAATGCCCGATCACGGTTACAACCTAAAGCCATGCGTTTCGCTTCGTGGGAACAAAGCACCAATACGCCCTCAGAGTCAACACGAGCGAAGGAGTGGCTTTCCTTGTCTTCGGTCGCCGAAAAGAGGTTCCCACGGGTCGCTTTGTGAGTGACCCCTGATTGATTTCTGACTGAGATCGGCGGTTCATGAGAGAAACCCTTGACATCACAACCTCAGGATGTTCAGAATAGAGGATGCACAATAACTACTCCTTTCTCATTCTTCAGTATCACGTTCAGTGCCGCATTTACAATTTTTTATTATCGTACAGAAGACAGTGAAAATTATGACACGCGAAGTCAAGAAGAGCTTCTCCGCTGCCATTTACAGAGACGCTTGGGTGGAGAGAGTTGGCTCCTACACTTTCCTGACTTCGGCACGAGAAAAAATTGATCTGGGTGAGTGGTCAGCGTCACACCCCTGCCGCGCTTTTAGCCCCGTTGCATAGGACGCTGGGTGGTCCCACAGCCGGCCTGGACTCAAGAGTCTAGAAGAAAAATCCTTTGCCCCTTCCAAGGATCGACCACGATTGTCCAGTCAAAACTCAGATACAAAACTGACTGATCTATAGATTTTTATAGCACGCACAAAATATCGCAATTTCTTTGCAATGTGTATATAAGGGTATTAAATCCACCTTGTTTGATACTAAAAGAAATTATTAAATTTGATATGTAGCAAATCCACTGTCTATCTCACACTCATAGCTGTCACAGTCAGTGGGAAAATATTTCCCACTTCATTATTCGTACAACACATTCATAGGAAATACCGATCCCACCTAGAAGCCACTCTCAAATCCGCTACAGAACATGTAATTTCATCAAAATAATACTTGAAGATTTATGTCCTCTGGGTGTTGCTGCGCCGTGCAGTGTGGTAGATGTTTACCAACGTTTCAGAGGTCATACTGCCTCCGTCATCAGAGCGATGAATATATCATCTCCCAGACGACAGAAATCTTCATACTCACCGCTGTGAAAACCTCAAATCTTACAAAATAGTACTCAATATGAACAAAAGGCTTAATGCATGTAACTCACCTCGACAGCAGCTGCCCTGGTGGTGGATGGGTTGGTGACACAGATTGCAGGGACGAGGTCTTTTGAAAACTTTACACCGAAACGTGTGGCTCTGAGTGTCCGCCTCAGGCTGCAATCAAAAACAAAGCGGAATATAAAAATATTATGTCTGTACACGAAATCAATAGTTTGCATTTATTATGCAAGATTTTAGATTCTCTGGGGCCTTAAGCTGTGTAGTCTGGTAGACGTTTACCGACGTTTTACAGCTGTTCGCTGCCCCCTGAGATTGCCCTGATGATGAATACAGAATGAAGCTCTGAAACGCCGGTAAATCAATCTACACGGCGCAATATCCCAAAAGACAGCAAAACTTCATAGTTGATTATACTTTAAATGGCTTAAACCAGTCTGGGTTCCAGGAGGCTATTTTAAATGAAGTATTAAACAAATGTTACTATTTTGTATACCAATACCGACAAAATTAAGAATAGTTTTAGAAACAATTTATGTCACACAGTATAAGGGCCTAAAACAAATATTACATACGCGGCCCTAGGATAGACGCTGTATATAATTCATGTTAAAGAGAAGTAGTTTGTAGCACGCAATAAACAAATTCTTTATTCCTTCTTAAAATAAATTAATGACCTCGTCATATCCCATTGACGAAGTTTGTGCAAACAGCCTAACTGGTCAATTAAGCTATTAAGGTCATGACATCATAGCTACCATGGGCTCCTGAATCAAGTTAAATTTTCAAATCCACATGGAACAGCTGAATGCAACAACACATATTCCAATACATTTTTCCTAAACTATTTTCACAGAGCGCTAGAGGTGGATTCTGATACCGCTTTTACCAAGATCATTTTAAACAAAATGTAGTATAATTTTAGTTTTGAATGAATATAAAACTCAGCACGTCTTATTGAAGGGAGAAGGCGGACGGAAGGTGACTGAGAATAGAGTGCTGAAAAGAATACTGGGGCATACGAGGGGGAAGTGGGAGGAGGCTGGAGAAAATACGTATATTCACAGACAGCAATGTCCACTAAACATTATTAGGGTGGTCATCAAGATACTGGTACTGGGATACTGGGAACGACCCTTTCTTCAAGTGCCTGAGCACTGCGGGTCCCAACTTTTCGTTGCCTTGATCTATAGACTTTTTGGTAGGACTCCTTGGACGAGGGATCGTCCCGTCGCAAGGCCTCTACCTGTACACACGACAGCACAACAAACATCCATGGCTTGAGTGGGATTCGAACCCACGGTCCCAGCGACCAAGCGGCACGAGACCCACGCCTCAGACCGCGCGGCCACTGCAGACCCCGGTCATCAAGAAGGGTGAGATAATGAATGGGTGGGTAGCTAGCATGTGAGAAATAACAAACACATTAAAGAGTTTTGGTTAGGAAATGTAAAGCTAAGAAAGCTCTTGGAAAATCTAGGCGTAGATTTGAGGGTAACATTAAAATCAACCTTGCAATAGGTACGGATGTGTGGACTGAAATCAGCAGGTTAAGGAAAGAGACCAGTAACTTGTAACCAGACCGCGTAATTATTTGTTAATTTGTTACTAGATATTACAGACTCATTTATTTTCTTTGATCAGAAAATTTTTAAAAAAAATCGTAATTATTTTATCTGTTGCTTTACGCAAAAATACCACGCATGCTACTGTCTTTAAAACACCACCTTAAAATACATGTTTTCCAAATAAAATCTGTGACAGATACAAGATTTTTCAGGAGCCAATTTAAAGCAATATATAAGATCTATATTTAACCATATACTATGACAATTACATTTGAATAAGTATTGATAATGATAACGAAAAGTTATTTTCTTTCAAAAATAGTGCCATGACCCAAAGGGTTAGACAGGAAAGCTATTCTTTTCCCGATGGAAGAGAGACGTTGTACTGCCCTACTTGCTGCACGTTATAAATGGCTTTGTTATGTGGTAATTTTATAAGATGGCCGGTCATACTCGGCCTAACTAACAATCTGCTACGCTGGTTATATAACCTTAATCCGGCCTTCATGCTTGCAACGTCAGAAATACAATTGTGTAAGAGGATTACGCAGGCACGCACTCGCACACGCACACAAAAGCGTGCTCGTAACAGGATCTCAAGTGTAAGAGACAAATATTCTTGCTGTTCCCCGATGTACTTATCCACATCCGAGGACTTAGGAATGTCCATGGGGACAGACAGGAGCAGAGTTTAAAAAAGCTTGTAGGCCTACACACGTTTTTCCAATATCGAAATGTCTTTGATGTCCACTAATTATATTATCGTTATTTACAGCCGGGCCAGCAAACATTGCCTATAAATTCAAAAGCCACATACAAGAACTAGGAACCAATACAAGAAGGCATATATATCAGAAATCGAAAATGGCATGTTATGAAATTAAGTACTATTGTTTTCGATACACAAAAATTGATAAAATATATAAAATTTACACCCCCACTAATCTACAATATGCATTTGAAACGTTTTCTGATATCGTGAATGTTTAAACAGGTCTACAAGATATTATAACTCTGAATATTTTGATTACATTAAGCATTTAAAAACATTCAAATTACATCACGATACTCTACTTTAATTACATCAACCCAGAATGTTTCGACCCTTTACGGGGTCATCATCAGGGGCGTAAAAACTAAGGTAACACGAAGTATTTTTTTCGATCACACTATCTACCTGAAAACGATGTACAGACGTATATAACAGATAAAATAGTATACAGAATATTTTATGTCCTGACGTTGCGTCTGCATTAATAATGGCCCCTTAAAGGCTCGAAACATGCTGAGTTCATGTAAACAGAATAGACAGTTGTATTGAAATTGGATGACTTTATTGTGTATAATAAAATATATTATAACGGCGTGCTAATGCAAAAGATTTGCCTTTCTAACCACAGATTTTTACCAATAGAAAGAGAATATCAAATCCAGTGAACCACGCAAAACAGAAAACCGCGTTTACAGAACACAAGTTCTACGCCTCTTCGAGTTCTTTTGTTTTCAATGATTCAAGTACCATCTTTCCTGTACTCTCAGAACTTCTCCCAATTGAAGCCTCACCTCAGACGAAACTTAGGACAATTGTTAATTTCAATAACATGAGGACGTCGTGAAAGTATAGCCACATTTGCATACACGTCACTGCTGTCAGCCACCTGCCAAGCTGTCGGTCTGTTGCGTGAGCAAACAATCATCCGTCAATACTTTCACATTGTCTTTCTTGTTAGTGTCTATCAGCCGGTCATATTTGACAGCTGGTACAAAGCTGTGCGAAATAAGCAAATGATCTAACATTATCTATATTAAAAAATGGTGTCCACATGAGTTAAATATTTCCATAAGCAACGGATAATGTTCAAAGGAGAACTTCAATTTTCGTCCCCATGTACACCTAAAAATTTACGTATGTCAGGCTAAAATTAAACGTATTATTGGACCATAACACCCGATTAATCGTATAATAATTAACACAAGAAACAGAGGTAAGTGCATAAACATGAAAGGGTGTAAAATTGTTGATAATGGGAAAGGTGGAAAATAAGAGTACTGAAATCTTGGGAAAAGATGGAAACCAATGGCGTTCATTAAGAAGCTGAAATGAACAATTTTTTTTTTCTAAATTCAAGTAGAAAAAGCCCACGATTCACATTCTTATAGATCCTATTAGAATGCATACTCCCGCCTTTGTATTTCCGGCGAAACAGCCTTTGGCATGCTACATTTCAGGTAGCAGCCTATCTGGATGAAGTGGCAAAGAAAAGAAAATATCTCTAAATTTAATAAATTATTATTTTCGTTATTGTATGCAACTGTAACAAGATGGTTTATTACACAGGTCTGCAGCCTTGTTTCGTGTTCGGGCACACATCATGACACTGTCCCCCCCCCCCTTAATTCCACAGCCCCGACCCACGTAAACTCACCGCGTCACTTTCTTTGCAGGAACTGGCAAGACTTTCCCAGGAGATGGCACTCCGCATTATTGTAGACATCGCCTGGCGTATTTATACCAACATAAATCGATTCTTCCAGGTCGACCACTTGCGAAATGTTTCTCTTGCTTGTTAAACAGATGCAAGTCTCCCACTTCAATAAACCATACAGTGGTTTTCAAATCATGGGCCGCAAGATTTCAAGACATACATGTGAGAAGAACACAATTTTAAGACGGGCTTAATAGCCATCCAACTTCAGAGTTGTGAGAGGTGTAGTGTGGTACATCTTCGTTTTTAGATGCTGTAGTATTAAATTTTTAAAGAAATAAAATTAACCATGTATCTGAAAGTGAATACACAAGAGATTTGAAGATTAATGTCGAAATTGATATTCACAAGGTTATAGTCTTAAACATTCACCCCTGGAAGTTAGCAATTTATATTCACGACCTTCTTTATCAACTGAGCATTACATGTGGTCTAAAATTATAGCTTATCGCTGCGTCGTTACTTACTTTGCTACTTTTTAGTTATATAACTTTACAACTTTCGATCCACTAAGACGAATTCCTTCTGGTAGCATAGACCTATATCTCTCTGCATTACAAGCCTCCAGATTAATCCCTCCGCACTGCTGTATAGGAACTTTGATTTTTAAATCCCTTAACGGCTCAGAAGTTTCAGAAGCATCTTGAAACGTGTGTTTCGCACGTAGTGCAGACTACAAATTATGCCCCTCAATAATTAAATTATGATAACATGAACTTAAACGTAGGAGAGGTTACGCGACAAACAACTCAAAACCTTACTGTTAAATAAACTCAATGGAGTAGAATATTTCTCGAGTAGTTGACATTAACTCGAGAAATTCCTAGGCTTTCTATGAAACCCGCAGTCATTACGGTATACACAAGATCTCAATCAACAGTCCCTGTCCTGAGCCAGAGTACGTATCAGGAAATGAGAAATGTACACAAAAATTTTGTCGAAAAACCTGAAGAAAATACATTATTTGTAAGACCAAGCAGTAAATAGGGGAATCATATTAAGATGAAATTGAAGAAAAATGATATAAGGATGCTGACTAGATTAATCTGGCTAAGGATAGATATAAGTGGTGGACTCTTGTGAACACGTCTTTTATCCTCAT